ACTTAAATTCAACGTCAATTTTGACAAGCAACTGCAATATTTGGATCTTAATCACCATGGTAACCGAGTCAAGTGGGATAACCTTAAAATAATAAAATTTTATTCCGATTTTTTTATCAATTCTAACCTAATTTTTATTAATTTTAAAACAATTCGAATTCTTTACGATTATCTCGCATTCATAACAAATTCGTTAATTGTAGTTAATCGATTCTAATTAAGAGAAATAAATTAAAAATATCTTTTTTTGATTTAATTTTTTGATTTAATTCACTTACCTTGTTTATAATACCCTAGATAAACCAATTTTGAGTTAAATACAGCCTTTTAAACCAATTAAGTAAGACTTTGTCCTTAAAAAAACTTAAATTCTATATCAATTTTGACAAGCACCTGCAATATTTGGATCTTAATCACCATGGTAACCGAGTCAAAGTCAAGTTGGATAACCTAACAATAATAAAATTATAACCGTTAATATTTCGCTTTATATTTTAATATTTTTTTAATTTTATTTTATTTTTTCTTTTTTATATTTTTGTATATTGTTTCTTAAGTAAAATACACTGTATAAATAAAAACTTAGAAATGTCAATTCTTCCAATGACGTCACAGCGTCGGGGGATACGTTCATAAACGTGATACCTTGCGTCAAAACATAACAACATAACCTATACAATAATTTCTCATTATCTTGAGTTAATTTCAAAAAAATTAACCTATTTCTTTTAATACCTTCATAATGAATCATGAGCAATCGAAGCGATGGAAATCAATTAATCCTTAGAGGTTAAAAAAACCTATCAGAACCCAAATCAGAGATACAAACAACAAATTCTAGATGGAGGTAAATTTAATTACATAATTATTCCCAATAATAATTACTCATTAATTTAACAGGAATTAGATAAGATGATTCAACGTGATATCTTCCTTATCTTGACACAAAATGAGTATTTAGAGGCAACAGCGAATACCGATGTGGTTAAATTAATTTTACCTGAATGAAGACACTTACATTGAGGTAAAGTTAATTATTCTAATCGATTATTATCATTAATTACTCATTAAATTCCATTTTATAAAAGCGATTTTGTAAACAAACAAACCAAACTTTAATCTTTGACCCAAAGTGATCAAACATTCCCTAAGATATTGAATTAAGATTAATAAGAATTTAATTGAGTTCTTATCTGCTTTTGTGAAGTATTTAAGGAGGAAAAAATCGAGTTGGAAGCATCAAAAAGCATTCAAAGCTTGAAGCAAGAAGAACTAGAAGAGAAATAAACCCAAAAAGAAAATGGAAAAGGTTTTAATTGTTGTTGTGGCCTTCTTAGCTATTCAAGTAAGTAAATTTAATTTAAAATAGAATTTTTCTTATTTTTTTTTATATAAATAGAGCTCAATTGCAAAACCAGCGCCTCAAAAAGGCCCAATGGAGACTATTGCTGATAACGTAAAAACAATTGGTGATAACATCAGCAAAACTTTAGGGGTACAAGACATTACATCAGAAAAAGTCCTTAAAACCATCAACGATCAAGCCAAAGTCTTTGCAGACAACTTAAACCAAATTAAAACGAAAGTTGATAAAGAAGTGAGTTAACCCCTCAATTTTAAATCGTTTTATATTAATTTTTTATTCCCAGATTAAAGCTCATGATGGGGAAGTTCAAAAAACCTTAAAAACTTTCGAGGGTAAACTTGGGGAGGCTTTAGCAAGCATCCAAAAGGTTGTGGATCAAATTGACCCCGAGAAAAAGATGCAAAAATCCACTGAGGAAATCCGTAAACAATTCGATGCTAGTTTTAAAACGGTTACTGATGGTTTTGAGAAGATGTCGAAGAACTTACAACCAAGTGTCAATGAAGCTAACACGAAAATAACTCAATTAACCAAGCAAATCGCCGATAATTTAACGCAAGTTGGAAAAGACGTCGAAACTAAATTGAAGAAAGCTGTTGATGATCACCAAAAAACCCACAAAATTTAATTATTAATAAATATTTTTGTAATGAAAAAATTATAATAAATAATTTTGAAATTATTCGTGCTGTTTGGGTTGCATACTCATCATGTCAAAATATAAAGAGAAGTACAGGAGGATGGTTCAAATTCGATGTCCGAATAGCATATTTCGGAAACTATAAGTTAGAAAAAAAGGAGCTTACATGTCTTGATTTCGTTTTTCGAGAATCTGCTAATGCCAAAAACCTCAAAGCGCTATCCACTTTTGTTTTTCCCCTAGAGGCCAAAATTGAAAATATCGTAAAACCAACAAGTGCAATTATCTTCGTTATTATTATAGGTGGAGTACCTATTATAACTCATACACTTTTTTACAAAGAATTTGATGACGTAATCAAAAAAAATTTTTTGGTTTTAGATTTTGAGATATCATGA